GCTCAATCTAAAAAAAGCCCTAGATATCTTGGGATGGCTTGCTGTATAAGAGTCGTTGCCAACAAGCTCCATTCAGGAGATCTGATGCAATGCCACAACCTAGTTCATTCAGCTTTATAAAAACTTAAGTATATATCGGAAGTAAATAACAGTTGGGGCCAAGGAACAGAAAATATTGTGATATTACTAAGGAAAAGAACATCCTGAAACCTTAGGTCAAACATGTAAGTGAACTGCCATAAATTAAATAAATAATGCAAATAATTATCTGGGGAAGTTAAAATGTCCTCAAAATGAACGTGAATTACAGAAATTTGAAATATTTCAAGGTAGACTCAATTAATGAATAGAAGGATAGACAAGACATAGAAAAAAAGGTACATAAGGAAGCTTACCAGCAAAACATAAGGAATAAATAAGAGAAATTGAGAAATGGGGACTTAAAGAGATTAGCCTAATATTTAAAAAAGACAGTCTAGATCCTAGTTAAACCAACACCTCCCCTGCCATGTTTTTAAACAAAACTTAAATCTGCCACTTTCTACTTATGAATTACTTTCTTCCTTCACCAATGCTTAACTTTCTTTCAGTTTAACTCTGTACCTTTTCCACGAAATATTTTATAACTATTCAGGACCACAAAGGCCTCTCCATTTCATGGTCTCTTTTTGTACTTATAGATAAAATCTTGCTCTTGATTTGTATTGTTTATATACATCTTATATCTCAATTAGAGTATAAATTGGAGTTTATTTCCTCATTTCTTGAATTTGAGTTGGCCTTGTGACTAGCTCTAACCAAAAGAATGTGGTGGAAGTGGTGGTTTGCTAGTTCCAAGTGTAGGCCTCAAGGAGTTTGCACATTTGCTCTTGCTCTCTTGGAACCCTGTCAAGAAGCCATGTGAATAAGCCTGGTTTAGGCTGTTGATGGATGAGCGATCACATGGATTAGAGAAGAGCAGGCCTAGACCAACCAGTCCCTAGCCAATCTAGCAATTAACCTCAAAGTATCAGTGAGACCAGCTGAACCTACCCTAAATCACTAATTGTAGAAATTTGAGCTTAATAAATGGTTCTTGTTTTAAGCCAATATGTTGCAGGATGATTTATTATGTGGCAAAAACTGCTGAAATAATTGAAACACACACAATGGTTTCATCCCTCTACTGTAATACTTATCACAGTATGCCTTATATATTAGAATCAAATATTTGTTCATCACCCCTTTGCTCTTGGAGGACAGAGATTATATTATATTTATTTGTGTATTCACATAGCACTTAGGTTGTGCTTTTTACTAATAGGCACTCAGAATTTGATAAAATAAATTGAAGTGAAAATTAAATTCTAGTTTTCATCAGCATTATCTACTTAATGTTTAACCATGGAAGAAAATCAGAAGCCATGGTACTATTAAATGATCAAATAAGTACTAAGAATCTACCATTGGTCCTGTTCATAAATGGTTCCCAATTATGAACCATTAAAGGCCCACAATTATTAGTACTTGCAATGTAAATGCTCTTCAAGATAGTCAATTAAATGAGCCCATAAAGTTGTCCTTCTCAAGATTTAGCATTAACCCAAATTTGAATTTTGATAGAAAGATACACATATATTTTATATTTGCTTGTGAAGTTGTACTGCAATCCTACTTTTATGAGCTTATAAATATAGAAAATATAAAATGTTAAAGGAGATTTTGATTTGTATTGTCTAATTCACATCATTATTAATAGCAGGTTTTCTAAACCCAGAAATCTGACAAATGAGATTTAACTCATTTGTACTTTAACTCTGAAGTGCTATACAAATGTAAAATATCATGAAAGCTTGTATATTCAAAATGTCATTTCTCTCTTTTCCTTAAGAAGTAGCAAGTGAGCATAGACAGGACAGGTGAGAAAGGATGAATAGTTTTGCTATCCACATATAATTTGCCTCCTAATGAAATTCTACAGCTTTTAAATGACACTCTGTCATTATAGTCTATACAAAGATGACTTCATCAAATATTCCATGTTTTGAGTATTTTTAAAATTATCATTCAATTGATACTGTCTGAAATTTTCTAAAACAAAAGAACATGAAAGCATGATCCGAATGAATATAAACTAGTGAGGCAAATATACTCAATGACAGTAAAAGAACATCCTTGCTCTGCTACACCTTGTTTCACGGGTGTATACCCTATAATTTGCCTCAACTTTAACTTACACCTTTAACTCAGGCCATTCCTGTTTAATGTTTTTATCTTCAACTTACAACAGGCATAATAATTAAAGCAGTTAGTAAGCTAGATAACTGAATAAAGACCTAAAAAGGTTTAGACTGGCCATTTAGAATTTAAAAATCTGTGTTGTTAATAATGTGTCTGAAAGAAAAATATGGACCAGTGAGAGTAGTCTCCAGTTTCGGTCCATTAAATCAACCATATAAGGACTAGATGAGGAATAGGTAACAATGTTACATGTGAAAAACCCTAGCAAATAGGAAGCTCAATAAATGAAGAATAGAAAGCCTATTTCCCCAGATTAGGGGTGCATTAATAAAAAAATTTAAAGATTCAAAGGGTCATTGTTAAACGAGACAGATTTTAGCCAACTTAACAAATATCTTTCTAATAATCATATTGTCCTAAGGTGGAACTTGCTGCTTTGGGACAATGAGTTCTCCTAAGGAAGGATATTCAAGCATAGTCTGGGATGATGTACAAGGATTTAAGTATCAAGCCAAAGGTTATACTACATGATTTTTAAGATTAGCCTCAACCCCAAAATTCAAAAATTCTGCTTTAGGATTCTAAAGAATACATGCAAAAAGGACACTTAATCATATCTCATTCAATGTAAAGATAACGCCTCCAAAAATACACTCCCAGGCTTTCTATTTATAGTTTGAGCAACTCTGTAGTTCAGAAGTCTCCTTTTAAAAAGGTGACTACTCTAAATATGCTCTGGCAATGACTAAGATGAACTGCAAAGAAATAAATATTTTCAGCATTGGATGTGGAAAGATCATTATTCACAATGATTCAACCTACCTAAGACTTGATAATAATGTGCTACAGACCAAAAGCTAAGGAAGTTTTCCAAATGATCTATGTTAGAAGTTTCCCTTTAAGCTGCTTTAATAGAGACAGATATAAGTAGAAATTAGATGGTAGACTCAATAGGGAGAGGCATACTTTTTCATTATCAGTAAAATTTTGGAGTTTTGGTTTCTACCATCAAAACATTATAAAAGTAACTCTGGGAACAGAAATGTAATAGAAAATAGGAACTTAAAGCGTAAACAACAGTGCTGAGAGCTCACAAGTACTTGAGCATTCATCCCCAGCTCAGATCCACCTTATTTTGGCTGTGCTTTCTAACTTATTCCCTTAGTTAACATTTTCTGTGAACACTAGTTGCTTTCCATAGGGACCAAAACCACAAACTAGAGAGAATGACCACACTTCCTTTTCATGAATAGCTAGAACAGAAAAATTTTTGCTTGGATGTGTTTCTCCAATGAAATTTGATTTCTGCTTTCCAAGAAAAGTCTCTGAGAAGAAGGCAGGGGGAAATCCAACAGATATCACCCCACGAAACCCTAAAGAAAAAATCCCAAAATTTCAATCTAGGGGTTAAAACCCAAATGTCTCAGTTGAGTTGCTAAATCTACAGGTGGAAGGTCTTATGTGTGGGAAGAGATACTCAATTCCATTTGTGATCATCCTGGGAAAGCCTTTATGTGTAAGAGAACCCCCACTCTGGCCCCCAAATATTAAGTTGACACACGTTTCTGGGACACAGCCTGAATCCTCAAACTTTGGCAGGTCTATAGAGACACAATTTTCTGTTTTCTGCTTAACAGGCTTTCCAGAATTGTCATCAGATGACAGATTACACCATCCATCCGCAAGGATTCAGGGGTAGCTCAGGCCATCCATTATGGGTTAAAAGCTGTTCCAGCATGAATCAAGTCACAGTGGTAAGGACTACTGATACAAGGGGTCCTACAGCTTTAAGAAATACCCTGGGCATCTAAAAGTTTTCAGAATGCAAACTATGTCAGCTCTGAAAACAAGAGGCACTGCATCATTATGGCAGGAGAAACAAAGCCAGCCCCCTTTTAAAAACAGACAAAAAAAAGATTGTTTTAATAGGAGAGAAGCATCAGTCATTGATTCTTACTTCATTCACACTTTCTATCCAACCCCATCCATCTTCAGAGTGAAGAGATGACAGAGCCCGGTTAACTCTCTCCCTCATTGAGCCCCCGCCCATTCTGCTCCAGTATATCCAAACCACCAAGGCCTACCAACCCACCCATTTCAATCTGCAAGAAACAGCCCTATAGAATGGCTCTTTCTATCTAACGGACTTGCCAAAGCTCAGGTATGCCTAAGTACCAACTTTCATTACGTTACTTTAATAGGCTTAGCATGACTGGTAGGGCCTTTGCTAAACATCTTCAAAAACGAACATTTGGTCACTCATGGCTGACCACATTCTACAAAGGAGGAGATGGGAAGACTTAAGGCAGCAGGAAAAAGTCAACAAACCAAACCAACAATCCAGAATATAAAATGTTTCATTTTTCTTAAAAGCTACTGGCCACATTATCTGCAAATAAAAGTTCTCCTAGCAGGCAGTCTCTGCATCAGTGCACCTGCTTAGCATTGGTTTGCTGAGTTATCTTTTTGCTGTGTCTACAGAAGCCAACTACAGCACAATGGGTCACATCACTTGAGGGTCACTTGAGTCCCTCTACTCTCTGTGTCCCTCCTCCCACCCCCTGCCTTTCCTTCTACCCACAAAACCTTTAACTCCACCATAGCTAAGGATCCCAGATAGCTAAATAAAAGAGGTGGCCTCAAACACAGGGAAAAACCCTTAGGTCTCCAGTGTGAATCGCCAATGCCAATCCCCCTCCCCTCCCCTTTTCCTTAAGACCTGATGGTCTTCAGTCACACATCTTAAAAGAAAAACAAAAAACAAAAACACAAAGACTTACTTGTCTCAAGTCGATGAAGGCCAACTGCAGCGTGTCCTCCTGGAACCCAGGCACCGGGCCGGATCTGGCAAACTCTGTGGGAAAGAAAAGAGGATAAAAAGCGCCTTTAACTAACCATGGACAGGGAGATTGGCAGACGGATGACAGGGAAGACAAGAGAGGCTGGGGGAGAGGAGGACCAAGCTTCTAAGGAGTCATGTCTCTCTCCCTTCAGCTTCTTTGTTTGCCCTTCAAAATTCGTGTCATCAAAACACCATTAATTCCAGCATCCTGACAGCAAGGAAACTGTACTAATTCGACCTGAAATTTATTCCCATGAGCCGCGCTGGGCTTCAGGGTATTTGTTTTGTGAATGGACAAACAACTTGCAAAGGAGGAGGGAGTGGGGGAGAGAAAAAAGTTTTTCCTCCCAACACAATAAAATCTTCAGCTGTGAAACTCTTTTCAGTTCCGAAAGCTATTTATATTTTAGATCGCTGAAGGAATTTTCTAATTTCACGCTTGTCACCTCATTCCCCAAGCATTTATCAAAAAATATTCCCTGCCACATCATTAATTATTCCCTCACTGATTATTTGTATTATCTCATGAGTGCATTATTGCCAACACACATACACACACGCGCGTGCACGCGCGCGCACACACACACACACACACACACACACGCACACACACACACACACACACACTCCGTAGCAGCAAATGCTGCACTGATCCAGAACTTGGCTTTTGAGCAAAGGAGCATTTGCAGATATGAAAAGGCCCATCTGAATAAATCTCACTATAAAACTTAGAGAATATTTGCACATGTCTGTCCTTCTAGTGTATTCTTTGTCCTTGACTTCTACTTCCATTCTACTCTGAAAAATTCTTTCTTTTCCTCCCTCTACCCCAATTTAGTATTACGTCGAATGCTATTTGCAATTTACAGTGGCGCCTTGGGTCCATGCTCAGTTTATGACTATGGCTTCTACATTGTTAACAAGAAGATAACCGCACAAGGCTATAGGGACAAAAACTAGTAACAGTTAAGAATGTCAAGTTTTATTGTCCCTGGGCCCTGCTTATTATGAAATCAAAAGGTCTTAAGTTCCCTAATCACATACATACAGAACAATTTCAAAAACTAGATAGTTACTATGTCTTCAATTCTCTTGGTGTAGCCAATATCCTATCTACTATTTACATCTAAAACAACTCAAATGTCTGTTCAAAGCAAATATGAAAAGAAATGTTTTCATTTCATTTGTATTTTTCTCCAGGATTATATTTAGGGACTACAGAGTTTTGGTATCATATTCTTCTTTTGAAATTAAATAAAATCCATGAAGATATTTGCATGTATGTCTGGACAATCACTTCCAATAGTTAATAGCTGGATAGACTCAAATGAAAATTTGTGAACAATGATAGGAATTTCTGTTCTTTAAAAATATTTTTCATCTGAGGGCTTCTTAGACATAACAGGGTTTCATAAAATCCTTGTCCCACTTTTAAAAATAATGCCAACAACTTAGATTGCAAGGATTATGGGAACAGTATATGAAATGAAATTTAAAGCAATTTCTTAAACTAATTAAAATATAGCACAAATGTATTAAATAATTATATGTGAAATTATTATTGTAGACATTTCAAATAAAAATGATTCATAAATGGAAAGAGATAAACTATATAGCATGATTAGTAGTACTAAAGTTTCTATTTGATTTGAGAAGAACATTCAAATGTCATTTATAAATTCTTTCATATGTAGCCCAAGTGATAAAAGTTTTAAAAGAGGAAAATTCTAAAACTGTACAAATACTTGATGAAAGCCATGCTAATAGAAAGCTTGATATACTCCATCTTTCATATCTACTACAATAGCCATTATCTGTGATAACCTCATATACAGGAGCTATTTGAGTCAAATGCACAATTTGGCCATACTATGTTCCTGTTAATAGTAGTTCTTTGAATTATAGCTACAGCCACTCTTTGACAGCCCTGATTGTTAGGTGGTCAGCTTAATTATGCTTTCCATGCTTGATGGTTTATTCCATGGTTGATAGATTATCAACATCAATATTGCATGGCTCAAGGCTATGCTGAAGCATTTGAAGCATTTGAAGTCCTCTTTGTCAGTAGGAACACTAATTGAATCAAAATGCAGCAACTATCAACATGTTCTGCTGTCCTATATATGTCCAGCTCAACAGAATTATCCTCAGATACACAGTTGGAATGCTTGGGAGCTGGCTACACATTCCTGAATCTCCTTATTGGGTGTGATCCTTGGGGCTAATAGATGAAGCTGATGAAACCATTTAGGAATCTGGATGTGATGCATATTTAGTTGTTAGAGTCACTTTATAAACCTCATTTTTATGACACACTGAATCTTCCAGGTTCCCAAAGGATATGATGCCCTTTTAGATTTGATTTCTCCTTTTATATATCAGGAAATCAAAGAATGACAATTGCATCAGGTATGACAAAGTAAAGAGATTAATTTTATGTACAGCTTATGAAAATGTCTAAATAATATATGTTCAACTTCATATTTGTGTTTTTCTCATTGCTTTATGCATATAATTCTTCTTTTCCCATGTAGACAGTAAACTCCCTACAGATTATTATAGGACTATCACATAAAACCTAATAAGTATTCAAAATAGCAGATGCTCAACAAATATGGTGTTTTAATTAAATAAGTTGCACAAATAGCAAGATTCATTAATCACATATACTCTTCACTGCCAATGAAAATCTCTGGATTGCGATAAGTAAAGAGCCCTTAATGTGAGTATCAATAAGCAGGCTTTAGGAATTCATGAGCTCCCTAAAATTATAAATTACATGCACAATGATTAAGGGCATGGGCTTTGGGGTCATAAAAATCAGAGTATGAGCCCCGGCTCTCCACTTACTAGTTCAGGTACTTACACAAGTTACTTGATCTTTTTAAGTTCAGAATCTTTATCTCAAAAATGAGAATAAGAGAGCATTCCTTATAGTGCTGCTATGAGGATTAAACGAAATAACACATGCAAAGCAGTTGGCAGAGTGCCCAGCATATTATAATTGATTATCATTATAATTAGTTTTTGTATAAATATGCATTTCTTTGCAAAGATGGCTTATAGCTTTCACTGAATTCTCAGAGGGTCGGTGACCCAAAAAAGGTCAAAACCACTGTTCTTTATCAAGGACAAAAATTAGAAGAAAATCAGCTATCATTCAGCGACGAGTCAGTAAATTGGCAAGGCAAATTTATTTATAGACAAATATTTAATTGCTTCATTTAAAGGAAGTTACTAGTGTGTTAGCCACAGAACAGTAATTTTCAATAACATTATCAAAAAATTTAATAAATGCATAAAATAGCTCTCCTATAACTTCGTGACTCAATGAATCCTTATGAACATGATTGTCCTCTTAGAGTCAACTTTTTAAATATATGAAAAATGGTAATAGCATGAGAAAGTGTGAATACTTCAAAAAATAAAACAGGAATTTATATATATTCTCATTTTGACTATATAAAATATAGTATGCACAGATATGACAGCAAGCACTCACTTCATAATGTTAACCAAGGCTACCTCAGAGAAGAAGATTGTAAGAGTGTTTTTTTCTTCTTTATATATTATAAACTTTAAAAATGAATACAAACCACTTTTATAACCTGAGAAAAGGAAACTGAAGAAGATACACACACACACACACACACACGCACATTAGTGGTGTGCTGATGTAGCAGTACTTTCTCTAGTGACGAGAGACATAATTTGTTCGAGATTTAGCATTATAGGCAACTGGGATAGGTCTGCACACCCAAATTCTCAGATGATGCTTGATAGAGAGGAGGAAAACCACACATGAAAGAGGGGTGAGAGGCTCCTAGCTTCATGTAATATGCTGATACATCCACAAATTGATTACATGTACATACAAGAAGCCTCCCTTTAGAATCATCAATAAAAACCTTCCTTCTTTTGATATCATAAAAAGGGGTAAATACATGCAATTGTGGCTAAGTAGAACCAATGAATACATGGGCCATAATGGACAAGTCCCTTTGTCGGGACAAGTCCACAAAGGGACTTGTCTTTGGATTCCAGGATCCATACTAGGTTTTCATTCTCTAAGTGATTCAAACTATTAATAGCGCCAAAGTTTCCAAAGAATCGGTAGGGAAATCAAGGTGCTTGTTCCACTAACACAGAACCACACCTTACCTTTGACCAACTCCTGTTACTTGGGGACTGAATCAAAGTTCCAGAGAGGCTGGCAAGGTGGCTTCCTCTTGCAAAACTTGTTCAGCTTCCTAGAGCCTCTGACCAGTACCAATTCACTCTCCAGAAAGCTTGGCTTTCCCCTGCAGCCCTACCCTGCCCTTGTCCAATCATGCATGGTAGGGACTCACAGAATCTAAGCTGGTATCAGGGCCTGACTCCAAGATCCAATTTGCAAATGTGCAAAATCCAGTGAGGAAATTGCCAACTCACTGAAGTTTATGAAGGAAATATTTTCATTTAAAAAAATTAAAAGGCCTGTAATCCCTAGCTGCTTGGGAGGCTGAGGCAGAAGGATTGCTTGAGCCAGGAGTTCGAGGTTACAGTGAGCTATGATTGTGCCACTGTAATCCAGCCTGGGTGAGAGTGAGACCCTGTCTCAAAGAAAAAAAAATTAAAAGGAGGTGTACAAAATTACAGGAAAGAAAGCATATGGTCAGTAAAGGTATGAGAGGAGAAAGAAAATCACTAATATCCAACAACCCTTCACATTTTCATACATACATAAATCTATGAGATGTGGTAATCATTTTTAAAACAATATTAATTTTTCAAAAATATGCTTAAAATGTACATTTTTAATAATCTTCACATTATAATGAAATAAAGTAACCAAAGGGGAAAAAGAAAGGACTCCACTAATTTCAAAAATACTTTCTAGACTTCTTGAAGGATAATCTTAAAATTAAGAAACTCTGTCACTTAGAGGGGGAAAGAAAAAAATTTTTTTAACTTTAATTTTCTGGTACATTCACATGCAGCTGAAGAAAACAAAATACATAAAAGAGCACAGA